ATATTCTTCCCAGCATGCGCGCCATCTGTTTCTCATGAAATCGACAATGCAGTATCTGCGGCTTTGACTACACTCAAAAAATTATAATTTCTTCTCTCATAAAATTGCTTGAACGGAAAATAAATATGTGTAAGAGGGATAGATGAATTATGATACAGTACTAACCAAATTATTGGGGGAAAATGATTTCTCTTTTCTCTTACTTCAAGTATTTAATGTCCTTTGCGAGAAAATAATAATTTTAGAAGTGTAAAAATAATTCATGCATATGTTAGAAGAATATCTCTAATTTTACAATAGAACAAGAATGTTTTTTTTTCTTCGAGTTTTGTGTAATTGCTCTTATAATTTCGACGAAACTTCCAGATGCGTTCGTTATGTAGGGAAGAGGGGGGCTGGTGTGGGCAAATAGAATATTTCTGTTATTTATCATTCGAAAAATCTCTTTAAATTACGACAAATTTGCAAAACTGTATCATATGTAGTTTCAAAACAAAATACTAAATAGTTATATAGCAAATAAATAAGGTTTTAAGGGGGAGAAGCAACTTCCTAAATTTTGCTTTAATAGGAACTTTATACTATTTTTATTGATCGTTTTTGTAAATAAAAGTTGTTATTTTATTATAGAATATACTAATTAGATATTTTAAGAGTCACTTCTGATGTACCTTTCTTTAATTAACAAATAATTAGCTTAACTAATGAACTAATGATTGCTAGTGTTTACACGTCATCATTAACAAAGTTTTTTAATAGTAGGAAATGTTAGCAGGAATTTCCTTAAGATACCACTTTAATGTTTAGCGTTTTAATGTACCACTTTAATGTTTAGTAGCCCTCAATTCTCATGACATGCAAAACAACGCATAGTGGAAATCACAAACTTATAAATAATAATTCATTACCACTATTAAAGAAAAGAAAATACCACTAGAAAATAAAACTGAGCAATTATAGCAAATAATTATACTGGATTTTCTCTTGCACTAATTTTCTGCATAAATATTAAATAAGGTCTGTGCAAATATAAATATGTTAAATAGCAGGCACGTTCAATAAAGCAACATGGAGTTGCTTATATATAACAGAGATGTTCATTAAATATTTTTAAAACATAATATATTCTTCTTGTTTTTTCCGTATATCATTAAATTATTGGTAGAAAGCAAATTATTAAAATAATTTAGCCAGTTTAGTACTTTAGATAAAAATGTTTTAGGTAGTTTCATCAAACGTGATTGTTTAGAAAATATTTATTACACGCACACACACACATATATGTGTTCAATATATTATAGTTTTTCTTTAATATGGTTACACGATACTATGGTTCAACTTGAAGAACGGAGACCTGATCCAATTTTACATCTTATAAAGTTAGTTGCAAATTCGCACCGTATTATGGTTCAAGGTACAGATAATATGATAGCAAAACAGATAGCAAAAACTCTGTGATTCTTTTAAGAAATATTTTGCCTAAAATCTATGCATGAATGTATCCGAAGCCATCGGAAATGAACACCTTTTATTCGCATTTTATTTCCTAACCTCAAGGTTTCTTTGTACACTAGCGTGCAAAAAACGTGTGTTAAACTTTAGTAAACCTGTGTCAAAGGCATTTTAACCTTCTTGTCTCTTTTTTTTATTTTCGTAGTTTGTTTTTTCTTATTGTTCTTAATCATCGAACCAACATATATGTTGCACTTAATTTTAGAATTTTTTTTCTTCTTTTTATTTAATCATAAATGCAACTTTCGAATAAAATTTGAATCTTTGCATTAAATTCAGTTGAATATTCCTTTAATTTTTTCAGATTTCGAGTCTTGTAAAAACAAATTATGCAAAAAATAAAGTTAATATTAAATTAATAGTATGCAAAACCTATACTCATTAGTTAAAATTCCATTTTAAATAAATATAACAAAGAATTAATATAACAAAATAGAATAAATATAACAAAGAATAAATATAACAAATAAGAACAAAGAAATTCATCCAATACTTACTTTGATATACAAAAGAAGCTAAACACGAAAAACACTATTCATTTAATACCTATCTGATATAAAAAGATTTAAAGTGACTTTCAAAGCGCTAACTTTGCTTTTTTCTTGCTAAACATATTAAACAAGTTCAGAAATGAAATTTTATATTATACTACATTTCGAATCGACAATCTTTATTTTAGAGCTTGACCAACAAATTTTGCACGCTAGTCCAAAAAAAAAAATCAACTGGACTGGAGAATGATGCTTGCGGTAACAATGCAAAAGCAGTTTTAGGATTTTTCATATTTTATTTCCTATCTCAAAGTTGCTTTGTACTCGGAGAAAATCTGCTAAAATTACCGTACTCTATTATAATGACATTTTTGAAGAAAGAAAAAACAAACGTAATTCTGTTTAATAATTCCAAAATATATGGTATTTATACCATTAATTTAGTAATTCCCCCTTTCATATGGTAGCGGTTTACCAGAAATTCTGGTTTTCAAAATTGTAGTTCTTGTTGTCACACACATAATAAAAATACAAAACTGAATAGTAAATTTTATCGAATAAATGGTTTTTATGTCATGATCTCTAAGGTATCATGATAAAATTATCAAATTTTATCATATTTTATCACATGTTATAAAACCTTATTTTTTAGCTTTTCCAAAATAATTATCAAAGCGCATCGAAATACAATATCGAGCTTTTTGATGCTTCTATGGGGCCTGAAAAACGATAAATTTTACCATATTCTAGTATTTTTAATCATATTCTTTTTTCTAAGTATATATCAAAGTTCAACTTGAAGAATGATTCTTAAAGTAAAAATGCAAAAATAAAAACAGTTTTAAGTTTTGAAGCTGTGTAAGAGAAACTTTTCTGTTTCATCACTGTTGAGAACACTTGTTGTTGATAACTCCCTTTTTAATAACTTAATCAAAATATTTTTCTGTTTTTGCTTTGTTGTTGATGTACTCAAATTTATTTTCTATTTCGACACTGTTTATGATATACAGGAAATTATTTTGCTTTAACGCTGAAAACAATGTTTATCTATAACATTGGAACAGTTATCTGCATCCTATAATTTTTGCATATGCGTTGCTAAATTTTTTTGTTGCATTACTCCATTTTCTCCTTCAAGACCTGGGGATTTTGGAGTTAACCTTAAATTAAAGAAAAGGGTTTTTCGGCATTAAATCGCATGATCTGATCGGCTAATCCTGATGGTTAAAGCGAGAAACTCAACATTACTGTGCTAACTCAACATGAAAACGCATTGTTCTTTCGCGTAGCGCTCTCTTTTTAATAACAAAACATTATATTACACAAATAAAGCTATATTCTTATCTTGTGATAGTTTTGGAATTTTTTTTCACAATTAAAACTTTGCCATACACTCAATTGTTATACTTTATGCATTATTTTTAAAAAAAATTTCAATGCGCTGGAATAAAAATATTAATACCGGAACAGCATCTATTTTTTTAATAATGCAAGTATGTCGCGCACTAATATAAAATGTGTCAAAATTAACTGATGAATAACGAACAAAACCTTTTGAAAATTTATTCTATTAATAAAAAAATTATCAGCATATCTAAAATCTAGAGACGTAATGCAAAGTGTGAAAAAAAAGTATAAATATCTAAAATTGGATGAAATTAAAAAAAAACAACATATTGTTGCAATCGTATTTACTAAAATTTATGTTGATTGTTAGTAAATTAATTAATAAAATTCCTCTGGAAGCAGCAACAAAAAATACTGTGAAAATGAAATATGTTACTGTGCTCCTATTTAGAAAGAAAAAAAAAGAAATCTTGAATTATCAAAAGAATAATTCATGTAAGCATATGATGTATCGTTAGGACCATCCCTGAAAAAGGCGACAATAATAATAAGTTAAGAATGATGACATGAAAAACAAAATAGGTGCAGTTATCTATTATTTGTGTAAGCTATACCCTTGATAAAATAAGAGCCACCCATCTACGTGTCCGCGGCTTTCATCGGGTCATTTATTTTGACATAATAACTTCTCAACCTGATTAAAATACGCAGTTTCTTTAGATCAAGGGAAAACCCTGCCCTATAAAAGAAAAAAAACAATCAAAAATGCAACTAATGCAAAAAAATTCATTTATCATTAACAATCTCCTATCCCTAATTACCTTTCATATAATAATTAGTGAATAACTTTTCTAAACGTCAGAAATAATTTTTCTCCCTTTTACACTGTTTAAATGCTGTTCGATTGAAAATTTTTACATTTGTCGAAATGGATGAATTTTGTATAATCGCGCTTAATTTTAATATAAAAACGTATATAACGGTTTTTACTCTTTATAAAAAATACATACAAATGATCAGGAATTAAAAAATCAGTCCCAAATATTAATAATAAATAAAAATAAACTATGACTAAGAGCTTTCTATTGAAAAGCGCATCTATTTCTGGTATTTACTTATTTTAATAGGTGCAGTATTTAGTTTCAAATATTTCAGTGCGCTTGAAAATGGCAAATTTGACAGTAGTTCTGATTGCAGAATTGTAATAGCATAATTTTAATGGAAAAATTCACCGAAATTTTAGAAAATTGATGCATTTCTCCAATTCTGAATTGGCGACGAGCATGCATTCAACATGTTTCAAAAGATACTATAGAGTAGAGTAAATAAAAATTATTATTTTACTTAGAAAAATTTTATATCAATGGGTAAGTGTATACTTCCATCTACACCCCTAGGCCACGAGGGAAGAAATCTTTTGCGTTGCAAAAAATTATTGATATTATTTTTTAAATCATTACATCTCTTTAATTTCTGGACATACACAATTTTTAGAGATCAATTAACTTCGCGATATTTATATATAACCTTTGATATTGAAGCATGACGAAACATAATTTATGAGATTAAACAAAATATGGAAAAGAAACAAAAATATTCTACAAGCATTAAAAGGTTGTTGAATTAATAAATAAAATATCTATTGAACACTTTAAAATTCAATAAAAACATTTTATTCACATAGTTTAATCTTACACCAAGCAAATAGTATTATAAAATTATCACAACTGCAAACATAATCATTTGCAAATTTAGCTTAATGATGACAAATAATTGAAAATGAAGCCTTTGCATACTTTTTAACATATTACTTGTGCGGAGAAGATAGGTTTTTTTCTCATTGATCAGTTGAATAAATATTACAACCATATTTAAGAATTATTCAAAAGATTAATCTGTTAAAGAGAAGGAAATAATATCTAAAATGCTTATTTTTTGATTAAAAAAAATGTACACTTTCCAAAACAAAGATCAGTTTTGAAGTTAATGAAAAGTCTGATAAAAATGGAATGTTTAACAAGATTGGCTGTGACTTCGTACTGAGATATAAGACTTCTTTTTCGATCTCTTAATGAGAATGACAGCTATAAATACAGCTATCATTATTATCGTAAGTGCTAGCACCACACCAACCACAACAGGCCACCACAAAAACGACTTATTTCGTTTACCATCTTTTACTTGCTTAGCAAATTCTTGAACTCTCGGCTCTTCTTTTCTGTCCGCTTCATTGTCTGTTTTAGATGTCGTCAATTCTTCTGATTGGAAATCTTCGTTGTCTATTTCATAGTTACTTTCGTCAGTTTTATTCTCATCTAAATTTGGTTCTTCTGTTTCTTCAAAATTGCGCCCTGCCTGTGTTCCATTGAGTGATTCAGTTGTAACCTCTTCTACTTCTTCTTTTATTTCTTTATCTAAACTGGGTTCTTCTTTTACCTCCTCTTCCTCAACTGGTTTTTCGATGAGGTTGCCAAAATAAGCAGATGCAATATTATATTTTAATGAGTAGGATCCATTGTTATCTCGAGCTTTTATAGCAAAGTGTATGCTGAAATCTTCAGAAGTGTTTACAACTAAGATATCAGGCACTCTAATAGTTAAAAAGGCTTTTTTCCCAGGAGACAAAGGTATCAGTGAGCCATTAATAACGTCCGACTCATTTACAGTTGTAGCGCTTTCAAAATACTTAATGAGATCTTCTTTATTGTTGCTTGCTTTCATTTCAAGAGCTGTCACTGTAAAAAGTTAAATATATATATTTTTAAACATATAAATAGAAAAACTTACTAGAAGATTTAACTAAGTGATATTCAAAAAAGGAATAAAAAAACAAGTCTCAAAAACAGGATATGATCATCTATATGTTTAGAATTTAATAAAACGCTTTTAAAGAGAAAATGTGCATTTTCTCCTGTTGCTATAATTCCTAAAATCGATTTTTCTAAGATCACTAAGACATTGCTTTGAGTTTTCTTCCATTAAAACATCAGTTGCTTTAACACATCAAACGCATGCTTTTTGTATTATAACTAAATTTAGCATTTTTACAGAAAAAATTTTTGTTTTTGCATTTGCTTAATTTCATAGAAAATTGAATATTGTTTTATTATTAACGCAGAATATTAAATAATATAATATTCAGTTGAAAAGTATCATTCTGCGTACAAGCATTCAATAGAAATTAATTTCACGTTAAATATAATTTTATATTATTATTTATTTTATATTTTATTATTTATTATATTTTATTATTTAATTTAATCATTATTAAAACTTTTTAATTGTCGGGTTTACTAATTTTTACATCATTTTAAGTAATTTTAAAAGGCGAAATACAAAATATGAACGAAATCCATAGAATAGTTTTTGAATAATAAAATTTCAGAAAGTCGTATTTTTAAAATTTAAATTATCAATAGCTTTTTGACCAATTTTCTGTAAATTTCATATTTTGCCTTTTAAAACACCATAGTTTAAAATGATAAAAAAAGTTAGCCTTATTTTCAATTCAAAGTTTTTGGAATATTATTAAAATAAGCTATAATAAATAATTATGACATGTCATATTTTGCTTGGAATTATCTTTTGATAATCAAAATGTGAAATTATATGTAAATCTTTAGATTAGCTTAAATAGCTCCAAAGATATATCAAAAAACGCAGAAATTAAAATTAACAATAAGGGTTCCAAATTTTCGAGCACTCCTTAGACCAAACTTAGACCAAACCATATTTCTCAGATTTCTGCTACTCCTTATATTTTTGGGAAAAAGGAATCGTAATCCGTTAAAAAAAATATATGGTTATTCAGAGGAAGGAAATTTTTTTTGTAGTTTTTATAAAATAGTTGTAACATGAAATATTGGCTGCACAAATTATTTAGCACAATATTAAACCCCTTGAATTATTAAGATTTTATCTTAGTGCGTGAAATTCTAATTACTAGAACAAAAGTTATTCAAGTGTTCTGTACTTTATTTTGCGCATTGTACATTGAGTGCTGAAAATTAATAAATAAGTGAAAAAGAAACAAAAACGCTTTTGAAAGCTATCGTAATAAAGATATTGGAATGTAAAAATAAAAAAACTCTTTTCTGTACCTGATAAAAATTTGGAGAATTTTCTAATATTTGATTTCCCACTGCAATTTGTTACCTCCGGCAATCAAACTGGTTTTGATATTTCAAGTTTCGGCATTCTTTCTAGTGATTTCTTATATTTCGATACTGTTTCTTTTTTTTCTCGCTTAAATATCAATTTGAGTTCCCTAATGTGATTATTTTTGACCTTATTTTTGTCAAAGATTCGAAAAATATATAAGGATTGCCTTTACGGAAAACCCTGTATAATGAGGCATAAAAATATAGTTTTTATTGATAAAATTGTTTTTTCATTCAAAGCAAGTTGTTATGGATGTTATGGAATACAGGCATTAATACAATCATTTGAATAAATTTGCATAGATTTAGATGATTCTTAGGATTTATATAAAATTATAAGGAAATTAACTCCTAAACTAAACAATTAATACGCATATATTCTCTTTGGTAAAAAAATAATTTACAAAATTGCTATTTTTATAACAACATTATACTACGTGATTCTATTACTCCTTCCATCTGGGGATGAAGGTTACATTTTTCTGAAACACATAGTTTTGTGTGTTGCAAAATAATATGTTTAAATGATTTAAAAAAGTATTTTTTCTTAATGCTTTATGCCTTTCTATATTTACCTTGATTGACTTTAATATCATCTCCAAGTATCGTAAAATGAAGTGTTATTCTATGTTTTTCGTTTAGTGTCTCGACATTAACTACTGATAAAATAAACTGATATTAATTTTTCTATGTTTATCTTGACCAACGTTTATATCATTTCTAGGAGTGGGGAAACATTGTATTGCTCTTGCAACAGGAATGTATTGCTCTTGCTTCATTTATTATTTTTACATTAACTACTGATACGATGTACTGATACTTAATATTGTTATGTTTTTCTATGTTTATCTTGATTGATTTTTATATTATCTCCAGGAGGGAGGAAACAATGTATTGCTGTTATGTTCTCCATTTAATGTCTCGGCATTAACTTCTGATAGGATATACTGATACTTAAGGTTTTTAAGTTTTTCTATATTTACCTTGACCGACGTCTATATCATCTCCGGGAGTAGTGAAATGAAGTGTTACTCTATGTTCATCATATAGTGTCTCGACATTAACTACTGATAAATCAGAAATGTCTCCAGGAGGGATAAGATCCCCTGCATCTTGTGTCCAAGACTCTAAACGAAAGGCTCCTGGGTTCGAAGATCGATCGAAATTATTGGCAGGAATTGCGTTGAGCTCTTTTTCTCGTTTGCTCTCATTTTTCGGTACCAGCTCAAAATTTTCTGGAGCAAATTCATTTAAGGGTGGAGATTCATCTGTAGAAGATCCTAATAAAAAATTTATAAAAATAATTATTATTGAGTTTAAATAAATATGTCGATTTTTTTGTAATTTGGATTTTTTTTTCTTCTTTTTTGGTGCAATATCTTTATTTTTATAAAAGTTAAAATGTTAAAAGTTGAAATACCTTTATTTTTATAAAAGTTTTAGACAATTTCGGAATTTTTCTCCACAAAATTAGGTTTTATCTTATTAAGACTGCTTGCTGATTCCCAATTTGCTACAAGTTTTAGCTTTAAATCTCTAAATGAGATTCTCTTTAAAAAAAATTACAGTCAATTGCAAAACAAAAAGAAGTGCGCACAAAGTTTTCTAACACAATATTTTTTAACAGTTATTAGTATTTTTTCAAATGAAGTTTTAACTATGGCTGAGTTCTATTGCCCCGGGAAAAAAATAGCGGCATTAAACCGGCAAAAAGCTTTCATTTTTCACAATCCTTGATTTTTGTTAATTACACCATTTTCTTCTTTCAAGCTACTTTTTAATTTCATTTCAACTGCTTTTTACTTTTAGCTTTAAATTCAAGAATTATTGCAGTTAAAAAAATGTATTGCAGTTTGCAAAAGTGAATACAAAAATTTAATTTCACTCAATAACTAGAGTTTTTAAGAATTTCAGTTTTTACTAATTTATAATAGAATGCATTTTCTGTTTTATTGCTTTTAGACTGTTTACCAATCATTGATCAATTTTTAATTTTAGTTTCAGCTGCGAATTTGAGGTTGAAAAAAATATTGGCGCTATTTATAAACGAACACAGAATTGAATTTTTTCTCGTTGTCTTTCTTTCCGACTGCAAGCCAATTCATGATTAATTTGCAGACTTAAGGGAATTTTTAACAGATACTTTTAATGATATAGAAAACTATTAATGATTTGCATAGAACTTAGTTTTTACTTGTAGTAAAAACAAAATGGCAAATTATAAAAAGCAAAAATTATAAAATTTAAAAATTTGCTCACTTGGTTCAACAGCTCGTGAATTAAGCAATCATAAAGCTTAACTTCGTTTTTTTCTTTTCTTAAAATATTAATTCAGATCTAAATCAGATCTAAATTCAGATCGAATTTTTCCATATTTAAAATCGAAATTCATTAATTAATACGGTATAATTAGCAGAAAGGGTGGTTTGAAAAAATTTTTTAATTTTTCTTCAAAATGTGATGTTAATTTTGATTTTCCAAAACATGGAAATGTTTCAAAAATATTTTAACTAAAAAAGCTAACAAGAACTCTGGAATTTGAGTTGATCTACTAAAAAATTATTTTTTTCTGGTTTAAGTTCAAATTTATTTTAATGGCATTTTATTTTTACAAAATTTTAAGCAGGTAAAGATATGAAAAAAAATCTTTTTTTCTAACATAACCATGTTTAATTTTTCTCGTTTTGTATTTAATTGTTCTTACGTAAAAAAATCTTTTTACTTATCTTTTTATAAATTGACTTATCTTTTTAATAAATTGAACTACAAAAAAAATTTAAATTATTCCTTAATTATTTTAAAGGAATAATAAATTTTAAATACACTCGTTTTTTTTTTTTTTTTTTTTTTTTTTTTTTGTAAAACTAAAAATTGCTTTATGAAAAAAAAAATTGTAAGTGAACAAAAATGAACTGAAAATGGGACTGAAAGTCGGATTGTTTTAAATGGGATGCAATTTAAGAAAACAAACAAACAGGAAATTACGGACAAAAACTAACATCAGAATTCGTTGCAAAGCCAGTAAAAGAATATTAAGCCCCTAAATTACGAATTACCCGTAAATTTGCATCGTAGCAAATATTGGATCAGCCTGTATAATAAGCAGCATTGCCCGTAAAATAACAATTATTATGCGAAAGATCTTTTTTAAAAGAACAGACACTGTACATAAAATTACTAAAAAATCACCTTAGGAAAAAAATTGACACTGTCCGTAAAATTATATCAGAAACCAAAAAGTCCCCACAACATCGAGACCAAATGCATGGCTGTGGTAACGTGGTCAAAATTATGCACAGGTCATCTAGACTACCCACGCAAGCTGGTAGCCATCAATCTAATGATGACAAGACGCCACTGAAGATCGAACCCCATGACTTCGCGGTAACGCCATCACACCCATTCAGTTTATAAAAGAATAAGAGGAAGGGAATGAAAAAGTAGTGAGCAAGTTTTGATACTAATAATAGTTGTTAAAAAGCATAAAATGTTTAACCATGTTTCGTTGTTGGGAATGGACCCTTTTTCCCAACAGTCAATAAATTGTAGACTCTACCCGTAAAAACACTCTAGTACCCCTAATAGCCTAAGTATATGGAACATCAGAGTTTAGCTTGAAATGTGTGCGTGCGTGCGTGTGTATTTACATATATATATATATATATATATACATATATATTGTTTTGTGGTGATATCCATAATAAGAACTATAATATTGAAAACCAGAACTTCTTGAGCGTGGTTGCCATATNTATATATATATAGCTAATCTTAATTCTGCCGAAACCTATATAAATCTAAAATGTTACCTTTAAGTACAGGAATTGGTGGTGAACCAGAGGATAAAATGCCTTGCTTAAGTTTCGCTTGACCATCATTGGAAATCCTAGCTATCACAGCATATCGACCATTTCCATTGAAATGTGTGAAATATCCAGTATAAATTCCATCATTTTCTGTTACATCAGCTCCTAAAATTTCAAAAAATATTTTTTATATAGTTCTTAACTATATAAGAGAAATTTTTAAAAATTTCCATGTATGAAATTACTCTGTTTATAAAATTTAATGCTGCATTTTTAAAAAAAATAAAGAAAAAACTTATTAACCTAAGTGTTCAATCATGACATTCTTGGTTATTTTTTTAAAGTTAAGGTTTTCCATGATTACCATCTCTAATATGTATTTTTAGAGTTCTTGTTAAATAATTTACGTTAGGAACATTTTTCAGTTTCATACAAACGCTGTTTAGGGGTGATTTTAATCCCATTTTTGTGATTTACTTATAAATTGAATTAGCAAAGTTTATTTTATAATGTTTTTGTTTCTTTTTGTCTTACATATTATAATGATTTCGATTTTGAAAAGAATTTTAAAAATATAGGGTAAACTAACCAGGGAAGGAATACTTAAGCTTCGCTTGCCTTTTAAAAAGCCATATTTTTTTCAAAATTCGTAATTTTAGTTAAATGACAGTGTCAAAATATTTTTTACTAATTGCAAATTATGTAAAAAAATTGTAGAGAACTTACATAATACTGTTTTAAAGTTTTGGAGGCTCAAATAACAAGTAGTAAGAAGACCAAGTGAAGGAACAGCTCTTACCAGTGAATGAATACCCAGTAAAGGAACACTTAATTTTGGTTATTTTTTAATGCTCTTTATGAATTTATAGGCCATAAAAATATTCAAAAACAAGCCTATTCTTGAAATTATAACATATAAATACTTGGAAAATGTTTACCTTTTTTTGTAATCATGAATTGAAAATTAAAGTGTCAACATATTAACACATACTGCTCATTCACTGGGAAATCTATGCCCAGTAAAGGAACATGCCTGTTTCTCTCACTGGTCAGAAGTTGTTTTTCGTATTTTTAACATACTTTTGATGTGGAACATCACTAAATGTACAAGAAAATTGAAGTTTATCTTTTATTTTCATTGACTTAGAAAAAAAAACAGTAAAGGAACACTTGTTCCTTCACTGGTTTTTCATCGTTTGGTGATCCAGTGAATAAACACCCCCTCATCTCAGTACTTTATTATGCTATGATGCTTAAAAAAATAATAAAACGTAACTTCAATAACTATATTTTGAATTCTCTGTTTCACAGTCAGAAAAATAAAACTGTTACATGCAATTAATTCCACTTCAAACATATAAATACAAACACTCACCTTATAATTTTTTCAAAGAAACAAGGTGTTGCAGAGATAATAACAAATTCAAAA